GGTACTGCACTATAATAAACAGAAATTTACCCCAGTCCTTATTGCATTATAGAACAACTAGAGACAACATAAAAAAATACATATATATCTTACATACATATACACAGCATTCCCTGGTGGGAGAGATTCAATCTTGTGTCTGTCACTGGAAATAAAATATGTTATTTATCACATAGCAGGATATAGACATTATTACGCATTTACTGCCACCGCTGTCAGGACGTATACAGGAAATATAGGAAGTAACTGGCTGAAAAGGCTTCAATCAGGAGACGACACAATCAATTAGACACAATCTTTGTGTCAATCAGATCATTAATTAGTCTCTAATTAGGAAGTCAATTCACTGACCTCCCATGTGAAAATTATAATAGCCTGAGATAGAGGGGCCGGAGAACGGAGGAAAGGCATAAACAAGCACACAAAAACTATATCACAGGAATCACCTGTACTGACAGCAATTTATTAAAAAAAAATACTGTTCTTTAAAATGGATTTTTTTTCTCCCCGTCTCCCTGACCCCGACCTTGCACTCTGTGCGATCAATGCTTGTGTTTTATTGCACATAAAAACCTCAGAGAATTGCAATGCATTTCTGTTTACTGGACTCGGATTGACAGCACGGGAACATTATTACTTGATGCTAAAACCCCATCATTTGAGATTAAAGTCTCTTTTTAACGCTGACGTGAACCTTTTCTCACAATACTAATGCCAGAATGTGTGTAGCAGACAGAGGCGGCTCCAAAACCATCACCATGTAATTAGAGGATATTAACATGCATTTATTTTCTTTCTGTCACTAAAGTGAATCTGACCCCAGCAGGTTGAATAGGTGTCTTACCTGTAAATGGGCCCTGATAGAGCCACCATATTCCCCTTGATGGGGATCACAGGGAAACTGAACAATTTAACAAGATGTAAAAAGTGTGACTCCAACTGAGTCGTTTCCTACTATTGAAGGGAATCTGATTTCGTTTAGGCTTACGCTTATTGTGATAGATACATTCACTACAATAATTTCCTGACTTAATATGGACAAATCATAGGACATGATTTCTGCTAATATATCTGAAAATAAAATAATATGCTACATGTCCCTAACATATAAACTGACATGTTTCTGTGTTATACATTACCATGATAATATGCCTTGACCTATTGTAATCTTTAAAATATTGGAACATGTTATTCTTATTAAATGTTTTATCCTGTAATACTATTGTAATTAATAAAATGAAAAAAAAAGTGATGGCCTGCAGAATGTAGATTTTATGGATTAACAGATTATTTAATTAATTTCTCTCCGATATTTGACTACATCATAAAGCAGGGCAGCACTTTTCATGCACAGACCAGCCAACAAAGAAAAATGCACCCAATAAACTATCACAATGCACCCCATCCCTCTACTAAACCCTACCCTCCCACTGCCAGGACCAAACCAAGGTGAGGGTGGAGGGCCCTTGCTTGATGCCCCTGCTGCTCTCTCCCCCCATGGGGAGGGTGAAGGGGCCCTGGCTTAATACCCCTGTTGTTCTCCCCCCCAGGGGAGGGTGGAGGGCCCTGGCTTGATACCCCTGCTGCTCTCCCCCCATGGGGAGGGTGAAGGGGCCCTGGCTTGATACCTGCTTTTTCCTTCCCAGGTGAGGGTGGGGAGTGTTTGGCTTGGCTTGCCTCTGACACCCTGCTGCCTCCATAACAGGAACTAGATCCACTTGATACAATATGTCAACACAGCTTCTTCCTCTAAGGAAGGGGGCTTGGCTTGACCCCCTGTAAACCACCCTCTGACATCCTTCCTGCATTAGGCTGCCAGTCCCATGGGCCTTTGTTTTCTGAATAAAAGGTGCTCAGGAATGTCCCCACAAAATAGGATTATATGTATTTTAACACTGCAAATAGCACCCCTAAACTGTACCCCAAAATGTCCCTGACATACAGATACTGATCATACACCCCTAAACTGCACCCCAAAATGTCCCTGACATACAGATACTGATCCTGCACCCCTAAACTGCACCCCAAACTGTCTCTGAAATACAGATACTGATCATACACCCATAAACTGCACCCCAAAATGTCCCTGACATACAGATACTGATCATACACCCCTAAACTGCACCCCAGAATGTCCCTGACATACAGATACTGATCATACACCCCTAAACTGCACCCCAAACTGTCCCTGAAATACAGATACTGATCATACACCCCTAAACTGCACCCCGAAATGTCCCTGACATACAGATACTGATCAAACACCCCTAAACTGCACCCCAAACTGTCCCTGAAATACAGATACTGATCATACACCCCTAAACTGCACCCCAAAATGTCTCTGACATACAGATACTGATCATACACCCCTAAACTGCACCCCAAACTGTCCCTGACATACAGATACTGATCATACACCCCTAAACTGCACCCCAAACTGTCCCTGACATACAGATACTGATCATACACCCCTAAACTGCACCCCAAACTGTCCCTGACATACAGATACTGATCATACACCCCTAAACTGCACCCCAAACTGTCCCTGAAATACAGATACTGATCATACACCCCTAAACTGCACCCCAAACTGTCCCTGACATACAGATACTGATCATACACCCCTAAACTGCACCCCAAACTGTCCCTGACATACAGATACTGATCATACACCCATAAACTGCACCCCAAAATGTCCCTGATATACAGATACTGATCATACACCCCTAAACTGCACCCCAAACTGTCCCTGAAATACAGATACTGATCATACACCCATAAACTGCACCCCAAAATGTCCCTGACATACAGATACTGATCATACACCCCTAAACTGCACCCCAGAATGTCCCTGACATACAGATACTGATCATACACCCCTAAACTGCACCCCAAACTGTCCCTGAAATACAGATACTGATCATACACCCCTAAACTGCACCCCAAAATGTCCCTGACATACAGATACTGATCATACACCCCTAAACTGCACCCCAAACTGTCCCTGAAATACAGATACTGATCATACACCCCCAAATCAAACTCTAAATGTTCCTTGACATAGATACTGACCAAACACTTCTAAACTGCACCCCAAACTGTCCTGGAAATACAGATACTGATCATACACCCTCAAACTGCACCCCCAAAATGCTCCCCTGACATACAGATACTGATCACACCCCAACTGCACCCCAAATCGCCCCTGAAATACAGATACTGATCATACACCCTGCACCCCAAACTGTCCCTTTGTTTCTCATGCTGCATACTGACTCATACACCCCTAAACTGCACCCCTTTCAAAACTGCCCCTGACGCATATACTGACTATACACCCCTAAACTGCACCCCAACCGTCCTCCTACAGATACTGACATCCTGCACCCCAAACCGTCCCTGTATGTGATACTGACTACACCCCCAACCGTGCACCCCCAAACCGGCCCCTGACATACAGATACCATCATAAGCACCCCAAACTGCACCCCGAATGTCCTTTATTGGCTGCTGCATGTAGCCTGATCATACACCCCTAAACTGCACCCCAAACTGTCCCTGAAATACAGATACTGATCATACACCCATAAACTGCACCCCAAAATGTCCCTGACATACAGATACTGATCATACACCCCTAAACTGCACCCCAGAATGTCCCTGACATACAGATACTGATCATACACCCCTAAACTGCACCCCAAACTGTTCCTGACATACAGATACTGATCATACACCCCTAAACTGCACCCCCAAAATGTCCCTGACATACAGATACTGATTATACACCCCTAAACTGCACCCCAGAATGTCCCTGAAATACAGATACTGATCATACACCCCTAAACTGCACCCCAAACTATCCCTGA